AGCTAGAAAGATCATTGGTGCTCCACTCCCCTCACTAACGGACCTGTACACCACACGCCTCACTCGCAAAGCCATCACAATTGTGAGTGACGACACCCACCCTGCACACGGCCTGTTCAGCCTCCTGCCCTCTGGGAGGCGCTACAGGAGCCTCTCAGCCCGCACCACCAGACTCACTAACAGCTTCATTCACCAAGCTGTTAGGCTACTGAACTCTCTCCCCTCTCCACCCACAATCACTCCCACTTGAAATGCCATAAATGCACTATTGACTTGTAATACAGTGCACTATTACCACCTCATCTGCTGCTAATTATATTATTACTATATTTATCATGTACCTCATGTATATATTTTTACAGACCATACAGCACCTTAAAGCTACACATGCACCTTATTGTTATTGCACCTTAATGTTCGTCGTTCAGTATTCTCTGTGTCTCAGCTCACGGGAAGGCGAGGAACGTAATTTCGATACCTCTGTATGTTCTGTACACGTGAAGGTATTGACAATAAAGCTGACCTTGACCTTGACCTTGACCTTAAGTAAACCATTACAAAATCGTTCCTGTCAGTTTACTCCTACATGTATTTTGATTAAATCATCCTACTGAATATATATTTAACGTTCTCATCGCAGGTAGATCACGTGACCCTGGTCATTTGAACGGTAGCTTGTATACCAAAAAAAAAAAAAAGTGGCCACCCATGCTCTAGGCAAAGACTTCTTGATGTGAGGGTGCCACCTGCTGGATGCAGTGTGTATCTGTTATGATTATAGTATACGTAGTGGTATTTTAGATGATTATAGCACGTTATTATTCTTGTAGGAAACGGTCGCATTTCTTTCAAAATTATTTGTAATAATAATTTGTTATTTTATTTTATTTTATAGTTTGTTATTTAACGCTGAAGTTGACACGATAGGGTTTAGCAGCACCTGGTGGTGAGGTTGGGTATTGCGTCTGCTAACAGCGAGAATCTTCTGACCAGCCGTTTCTCTCTTCTCTGTCGTCGGTTTCTACATTTAAAGTAAAACACTTCAACCAACACGTTACGGCTAATGACGTCATCACCTGTCACACATATTTAAACCGCAATGAAAAAGTCTGAAAAAGGGGACAGATCTGTTGGTGTTTTGTTTTCACCTGACCCAGTCTGGATGTGATTCCAGACTGGGTCGGGTCACGATAGGGTTTAGCAGCACCTAGTGGTGATGTTAGGTATTGCGTTTGCTAACTCTTGGAAACAGCAAGAATCTTCTGACCAGCCGTTTCTCTCTTCTCTGTCGTCGGTTTCTACATTTAAAGTAAAACACTTCAACCAACACGTTACGGCTAATGACGTCATCACCTGTCACACATATTTAAACCGCAATGAAAAAGTCTGAAAAAGGGGACAGATTTGTTGGTGTTTTGACAGTCCTGTGAACCAGCCTCAGGATACAGACCATAATAATCACATGACCAGACCAGGAGAGGGCCGGACAAACCTGCACAGTCACTTCTCGGAGACCAAATCACATCTAAAGAATGTTTAAATTATACCATGTTGTCAGACCTGACGGTGTTTATGCAAATCTTGACCTAAAAATTGCAGTTTTTCCACATTTCTTGCAAAAGCGCTGCGTGAAAAAAAAAAAACGAAAAAAAAAAAAAATGATGTGACTGCACTAAAATGTGATTGAGTGTGAAACTGAATATTGACAATAATGAAACTACTCCCATCTTTGAGTCTGGCCGCGACGATAGGTCACAAGGTCAGGGACGACCAGTAGCGTAGGACAAATACCAACAGGAATAATGACATTTTTAGAATGTCATTATTCTTAGAAAGATTCTTAGAAATTTTTAGAAAGAAATATCACTTTTTTTTCGGTAAAGAATTGTACTGAAACTGGCCCTGTTTTTAAACCCAGTGCTGTGATTGGCCGAGAAGTCAGCCGGTAATCAGATGTACAAACAGATCTGTGAAGGTTCAGGAAGTGTATGTGTAGAATATAAACAATATAACAACAATATATAAATAATATAACAACAATATAACAACAATATAAAAACAGTATATGAACAATATAACAACAATATATAAATATTATAAACAATATAACAACAATATATAAACAGTATAACACCAATATAAACTATATAAATAATATAACAACAATATAAACAACAATATAACAACAATATATAAACAAGCAGTATGCCGCAGTTCAATAAAATGACGAGGAATAAGAGTCAACCCTGTACAATTCTGTCCAGGGAGAAGAAGGAAGATGACGGTCGTGAGGGTGAAAATGACGAGAACCACATGCAGCCGTCGTCAGCCCTGAGGCCAGACTGGACCGATGAGCTAATGATGACGTAAAAATGAGAGAAAATGAGAGAGAAACAGACAACGAAGGAGAAAAACTGGACCCACAACAACAACACCCACAAACTGCGTGAATACCAAAGCGAATTCCAGTGAGTGATTCCGAAACTTAAGTAGAAAAACTCGATTCATGAAAAAAAAATTTTAAATAAAATAAAAAAAACCTTGTCATCCTCCCTTCAGTCCTGTGTTTATCTCCTCGGGGAACTTCCTGTCATATGGGAGCAGGTCAACCATCCTCAAAATCACAATCACCACAGTTCTGCTATTATTATTATTAACCCTATACACCCTAGAAATTTTTATTTTTATTTTTTCTTGTTGCGACCCTCTTGTGGAAGCTCCGTACCCCGTTGGGACACAGCCCTCCAGTTTGGACACTACTGCATTGTTTGCAGTAGTCACAGGAGGAACCGGTTCCTCATTAGACCTCATCCATTTCTGGTTTTTCAGCTTTTTCTTCTTCAGTTTGTTTGAAAAATGTTTTTCTACATGTCAAGGACAATTCTACACGGCGGACGAGTCGTCCATCCATCCATCCGTCCATCAATCCATTGAACGGGGTGGGCGGAGTCAGGAGCAGTTGTTCATGTGAACTAATTATGCATAAATGTTCTATGCCATCTGTTGGGGAAACGTGGGTATTGCAGGGAAAAGGTAATAGTATAATGATACTGATAAATTATATGATATAATTTGGAAAAATTTTGACAGGTCGCATCCAGCCCCCGGGCCTTAGTTTGCCCCCACCTGACTTACACATTGGAATTTGTTTGCATTTCTTTCGTTATGTATTCAAGCTTTATCTAAGCGTTTTCGCGTCCCGATGTATATTAAAAATTGGACAAATCGATTGTCGACAAATTCGCTATTAGTTATTTTCTAATTCTATTTTTTAAACAGCGCAGTATTCATAGTAACATATGCACATGTGATAATGAGTTTCTCCAGGACACCAAAAGGGTACACATACCTCCGTTTGAGAACAACTTCTTCTACTTCTTAAACCTGTTCCTTGTCAGAAGCTGAGGCCGGGAACTGGCAGGACTGGTCCCCGCGGAGCTGCTCAGGTTTCAACCAAAAGTAAAGACGTCGAACGCCGCGGGGCATCTTGCTCAACCAGTTACAGCAACAGCCGACGCCAGGCGATGGACGACACTCACCTGGGCCAATCACAACGTCCGCTGTAGAATCTTCCTTTTAGGGTCAAAGCTGCGGCCGCGAGTAGGAATAAAAAGCAGAGAGCACCTGGTTCTCTTCAACCAGGTGACAACCACCGCCCGGAGCTGTATCACTGAAGATTAAAAAAAAAAAAGCGCAACTAACATCATCAGCATCAGGTAGGAAATCTTAATCTATCGCGGTTAAAGAATTACGGAGGTGTCGTAGCAGCTTAAGGTAGTTACGATAAATGAGAAGCGAATCTTCGATAGGGAGTAAAAATGACACAACGTAATGTTTTTTTAGTGATTTATTATTTATTTAGTTTTTCCACAACTTCATCTCGTGAATGGAAAATCAGCATCGTTTTGACATATATATAAATCAATATAAATATATATATAAATATATATAAATATATATATTATTGTTTTTTTATTATTATTTTATGTTTTTTGCCGTTGATTTGAGTTTCCTTCAGTGGAAAAACACTTTTTAAATTTTATCTCTCAGAAATGGAAGAAGAGATCGCTGCCCTGGTCGTTGACAACGGCTCTGGAATGTGCAAGGCCGGCTTTGCCGGGGACGACGCTCCCCGCGCCGTGTTCCCGTCCATCGTCGGACGTCCCAGACACCAGGTCTGAAGCTTAAACTGTGTCTCTGTCAAAAAAAAAAGTTACACTTTACACTGACACCGTCAGCTCTTACGGCGCAGATGCAGTGACCCTGTGGTGTCTGTCTGTGTGTCTGTCTGTGTGCAGGGCGTGATGGTGGGAATGGGTCAGAAGGACAGCTACGTGGGAGACGAGGCCCAGAGCAAGAGAGGAATCCTCACCCTGAAGTACCCCATCGAGCACGGCATCGTCAGCAACTGGGACGACATGGAGAAGGTGAGGACGAAAGGAAACAAATGACCAAAGATGGAACAACCTAGAAAAACACCCGTGAACACGGGACGGTGACGTAGGAAGAATCAGTGTTAAAGAAAAGTAGCCGTTGTTTAACAGTCGTTGGGTTTAAATTAATTATAAAAAATATAAATTATATATGTAGATATATACGTGTGTATATATGTATTTATACACATAGCATTTAAATGATTGCGCTGTAATATATATATATACATAAATATATATGTATACCATGTACAGTTGTTGTTTTCTTCACCTTTTCTTCATAACATGCAATTTTGTCCTGTTATACAATTGATTTATATATATATATTACAACATAATCAACATAAT